TGTGTTTCGTGAGTCTGAAGAGGACTGTATAGATTGATATTGGACATATGGATTAATATCGGACATATGGACTTGATCTGGACTGGGCTGGGATGTTTTCTCAATGTTCAATTGCTCTTGTATATAAATCTTTCTTAAACGCAAAAAAAAAAAAATGACATTGCCAAATACTTAATCAAATTGTTTATTGCTTTCTATAGACAATTCTTAGCTCTAAATGAGAATGAGCATGGTTTCCTACTTTTGATAATTATAAAGAGAGAATTAGAATAAGCTGTGATAAGTGTTGGATAGTTGTGAATAAGGGACTGTGGCCTGTTGCCACTTACTAAGTGGTTACACAGAGATTGGCCTTGTCCTTCTTGCGTTTAGATGGTAGGTCAAGGACTATGCAAGCAGTCTCTTGCTTTCCTCTGTAACTATCTTTTGCAGAATTAGCTACTCTGTTTCAAAGGACCCATCTCTGGGTCAGGAGAGGGTGGTGGTGCTGAGGTATATGCATTTCTGGAAGAGCCTTAATGAAATGCATAAAGAAGTCTGGGGAAAAGCAGACCTCTTTCAACTTTAGTTCTGGTTTGCCGATGCCATTTGTGAAAGAGGGGGACTTAGGTAGAGTAGATACAGTCAGAAGCAAGGTAGCATTTTTCATTTCATGAATCAACTTTAATAGTTGTTGGGCTCTGTCGAATCCATTCTGACGGTTGATTCATAGTGACCCCACTTAACAGAGGGGACCTGCCCCAATGGGGTTTCTTGCTCCATAGGGCAGATCACCAGGTCTTCCTTCTTCTAAGGGCCTGGAACCCCAGTCTTTCAAGCGGTGGCTTAATGTTTAATCGTCTCTGCTACCAGATCAGCTTGATGGCATCAGCTACAGAATTCGCAGGTTACAAATGTTTTTGTTTTTTAATCATTTTATTGGGAGCTCGTACAACTCATCACAATCCATACACACATAAATTGTGTAAAGCGCATTTGTACATTTGTTGCCCTCATTCTCAAAACATTTGCTCTCCACGTAAACCCCTGGCATCAGTTCCTCATTTTTTTCCCTTCCTCCCTACACTCCCTCCCTCATGAACCCTTGATAATTTATAAATTATTATTATTTTGTCATATCTTACACTGTCCGATGTCTCC